CGTACAATATGCACATAAACTGCTTTAGGATGGTAATAAGCTATTTTAATTAAAATTTCAAGGGACCTAATGTTTCCCAACTTGAAAGAGAAATTGGAGCTGATAAACTGCCTCCAAACGAACGATACTTTGGACTTGTCAACGTAACACCCTCTTTTGTTATTATTACAGTTTGGAAACACCTGCTATTGCAATTCAGTTATTCAGGCTCTCTTCTTCTGTAAACCCTTCCGTGAAAAAATTCTCCAATATAAACAGCTTAATAAAAGTCAAAAAAAGGAAACACTATTGAGTTGTCTGGCAGATCTATTCTCCACAATCGCCTCTCAAAAAAAAAAGGTTGGACATATTCCTCCTAAAAAATTCATACAGAGGCTTAAACGTGAGAATGGTGCGTTGTCAAAATTTAATCTTTTTGTGTCTTATGAGAGTTGCTGTCTTTACTAGACTTTCATTGATTATATATACTTTTTACTTTCAGAGGTTTTCGACAATTATTTGCAACAAGATGCTCACGAATTTTTAAATTACTTACTCAATGAAATCGCCGACATTCTCCGATGTAGTTGATTAATTTTTAACGCTTTTTAGCTGAAAAACATAGTTCTAATGATTATGACGATATGCGAGCAGACAGGAATTTTGACGATAAAAAGAAAGAAGTAGATAATTCACAAACTTGGATTCATGAAATCTTTCAAGGAACGCTTACAAACGAAACTAGGTGTCTCAATTGTGAAAATGTAAGGACTAAAGATGAGGATTTTTTGGATTTATCGGTCGATGTTGAACAAAATACTAGTATAACGCACTGTCTTAAATGCTTTTCAAACACTGAAACAATTCAATCTGACAATAAATACTATTGTGAGGTCTGTTGCTGCAAGCAGGAAGCCCAGAAAAGGTAGACCCTTTGTTTCTCTTTGCCAGTTAAGAATTTTATTTCATTTCAGTAAATATCTGACTTTAGCTTTTTATTTATATATGCTTAAATAGTATAATTGGGAGGATCGAGTCCTTTTATTTCGCCATTTGTAAGATTATTATGTTTACAGTCAGTAACGATTTATGTCAGTAGTCTCTGAAGATAAATTAGTTGCACTACAGAGTACCATAGTTTTATACCATTAGTTATTACGTTTCGCCGGCATCATCAGTGACTTGTCATTCT